CACATTAAAGAAATTGAAGACTCTGGAAAGAATTCCTTAACGTGTAATCAAATCCACTCGACAAGAATCAATTATCGGACACATCCGCAGGTTATTTACAAAAGTCGGCTTTTGAAATTTCAAAAACTCCCTAAACCGGTAAATAAACCGGTAAATCTAGATAAGAATATATCTCAAAAAACATTGTACTTTAATGTGACTCACGATATTTCAAGAATCAAATTGATTATGACTTTATTATCACTTATCTCTTGGAGATCGATTTTATTGCATCTATATCGAGAGTCAATGTATTTATTAAGTTAAACTAACTAATTCTTAAACATGTTTCTAGTGAGTCGATCAGTACCGGAACCGATTAGTGTGAACTTTTTGACTTTGGCACAATATAATTTTTAAATCTCTTCTTAATTCAAAATTTATGGCGGGTACAAATTAAGCCTTCGAGTAAATATTAAATTTATTTGTCGTTTATTATTCCCGTCAGATTCGAATCAACATATCGATATAATTTTTTTGAAATTTCACCGATCAATGAGTGACCTACGTCATTTATTGATGCTATAAAGTACATAGAAAATCTGGGACAGGTTACATTAAACTCCGATCTCAGAATTAATTATTAATAAAAAAAAGTTATAGTTATATTAATATAAATTTTATCATTATAAAAATAACTTCTCTGAAAAATTCAAATGGTTTTCGAATAAAAGTGATCTCCAAAAATTAAGAGTTACGATCCTTGTTAAATATAAGTAATATATATTTTATTTACATATAATTCTGTAGTAAAGATAAGATTGAAACATTTATAAAAGATGCGATAGAAAATTGCGTTGAAAAATTTTATAAGCAATTATTGTACAATGTAAAAATTTAAACCGTTTTTTCAATAAATATACTGTACATTTATTTATTCCATTAAACGTTAATATTACCGTTATTAATATTCGCAATCTGGATATTGAGTTTGATTTTCTATGTACAGCTATAAAATTATATCAATAAAGCAGATTATGAAAATTTGTTTTTATTAATAATCATGATAATGTAAATTTTCACCTCTTTGGCTCGTGAACCTTCAGAACAAATACTAGAAACATATACTGTATAAAGTGCGAAATAACATCTCTGGGCGTTATTCTGAATAATGGTCCGGATTAAGCTTAATTTAGGCAAAAATTCGAAATTACAACCCTGCGCGTTATTTCGCGCTTATACGGTATTAGTCAAGAAAATAAATAAATACAGTATGAGAAAATTTGACAAGTCAGTCGCTATTCTAAAAGATCAAAAATCAGTAATTTATCTGAAGAATTATAAAAATAGCGAAATTAAATAAAATAAGCATTAGAACTTTGTGAATTTGTAAAAATATTCCTATCCTAATATCAATAAGATAAAATAGATAAAAATAATTACCGTAAAAGAATTCGCTTTCGTGAAGCGAACGACTGTACTCCTAGCTTAATCTTCAATGCAAATTTCGTGCCAAACTGTGACTGAATAGCTTTATTATTTTGTTTAATTGGTTATTAATTTATTTATTTATTAGTTCCCAAAAAGGGAATGGCGTTAAATAACGCCCCCGATGATTGAATCCTAAGGATGAAACCTTACCAAATGAGTAAGGGTATTGTTTTATTACCTGTTACAGTTTTTCTTTCACAGTACGTTGGGGATATTTCATCACTGTTTCCGCCATGGTATGTAGATCACAGAATTAGAGTTGGTGTGCAGATTTAATAATGTTACGTAGTCATTCCATGGTGGAAATATAGTAGTAATTCCCTTTAAAAATTGTACATATTATTGCCATTTTTCAAAAAAAAAAAAAGATGTGGCCGTGAGGCCCTGCCCAGTCGGATCTGCGAGTATATGGAAAATCGGTTTCCACATCTTGTTGAAAATACCTATATATAATAAAATACATATCGCATTTTAAAAAAGTGAAATTTTAAAACTCGTACGTATAAGTGGAAACGGGATTTATATAAAAAAAACATTCAGGGTTGATTTTATCATATGTACAACCTAATCCTAATTTAACTAGTAAATTCCAAATCCATATATATTTACGACATTACTCAACAGAACCTATAATTTAAACCAAAAACCTTTCTTTTAGATTATCGATTGGTACACAAAGTTTGTATATTTGACATTCACGTTCCTTGTACTTCGAATACCCCAACAGTACGCCCCATGGTTGATGAATTCTATTTATTTCTTCTCTAGATGCTGTAACATAATCTTTTATCAAATATTTAGGGCCATATCGTATTCCTTGTCTTATTTCTTCTGCATTGCTCAAACGTTAAAGAAATAAGTGTATTTTCTTTTTTCGTTTCTTTATCATAAAAGATATTATCAACTTTTTAACGTGTACAGTAAATCATTTCGATCTTTTTCATTGTCTTGATTCTTTATCGTCCTTTATTGTCATATTGGCTTTTAAGTTCTATTGCAAAATTAAACTAAAGTATCAACACTTATATGATCTTCGATAACATTAAACAAATTCAGGTATTAGTGTGTCGCTCTCCCGAAGATAGTAACACTAGTATATAACTTGTATTACTACCAATTGACTTTCATAAATACTCTAAGAGATACGTATTCTAAAGATACAGAAATTCAAGATTTTACGATGAAATAGATAGAAATCATCGAAAAGTTAGTATGAGGCTGTGTTATATTTTAGAATCGTGATTTTATTGGCAAAACAATAAAAAATAAACATTTGCCACGATTTTGTTTTCTATAGATTAAAAAATACATAAAAAACGCATTGAAAAAAAGATTTCGACCTGCGGGTCCGTAGCGTAGGTTAGCGCTCCCAGGTCGCAAGCACAAGGAAAGGAATCTGACAAAAGAAAGTCGTTAACATGAGGAACCCCCGAATTAGGATTATGGTGTCCCTGTTAGGGACCCCAAATAAGGACAAAAAGGCTTGTATTATAAATAGATACAAGACATAGCCACGAAAAGTCACGTATCACCTGAACTCCCAGATAAAGAAGGACCAAGGGCATGTTACTTACCCGAAAAGGAAGAAGGAGTACAGGGTTTGTCACTCAGGAGATCTTGCCTAAAAACCCGAAACGGAAGGACGACCGAAACTTCAAGTAGGATCGACCCAGTGTTGTTAAATGGACATGTTCATTGGTAATTGTCACATCTTTTTATTATGCTATTTATCACATTGAACAATAAACAATATAATAAAAGGATGCGACAATTACCAATAAACAAGCCGTTTAACAACACTGCTGTACGTAGTAAATGAACAAAAATTCGGACAAATTGTGACAAAGTCGTTATAATGCACACAATTTCAGGCCAATAGTAAATTGGTTTTTATTCTTAAAATTAATAAGATAAACTCGGGTTAAAGTTAAGCATAAAAAAAAAAAGAGCTTGAATACTAAGAGGATAGTCTAATTCCATACGCTTACTTTCTATATCAGATATGTATTTAAAGAAAATCGAAATGTCAGAATATTAATTTATTGTTATACAAACTAGTATTTTTTGGAGAGTGAAAAAGAGACAAACCCGTTTAATCTATTAGCCTAGTCTAACTGCAAGATTTCGAAACAAGTCTACATCAAGATCCGAATATCATGATCGTAGACATTAGAAACAATCATTGTACCTAGGTAGGGTCTTTATTCAGAAATATAAAATAATTTATCCGAATAATCCAGATATTTTAATAATACCCAGGTAGTGGATTTTTAGCATTAAGAAAAATAATTCATCAACGATCAAAGGAAAAAAATTCATTATCAAGTACCCCAACCTTACATACTCCACTTACCCGAGCGATCCAACTTGTTTCACACCTCAGGACTGCAGTTCCACCATACCACTTATACTAGTAACTTACCAGATGTATTAATTTAGCAAAGTATAACTGGCACAGTTTTAATAGCATTAACGTTTAAAAGTCTGGGCAAAATCACATGTCATATAGTCACTTAATTTTAATTCAAAATTTGTCTGCAAAAAAAAATTTACATTGATCCAAAAGGTGACATTATTAAACGATGGCTGTACAACAGTCATTTTAGAGTAGAGTAAACAATTTAAACAATTTTACAAAAAAAACAAATCTTTAAATAGCCTATTCAAAGTACCTTTTATATATGCAGTCATTTACAGTAAATTCAATAAATAAATTTTTTTGACACAATACGTGGCTCGAATTCAATGTCACCCAAACTAAATCCGGGAATTCCTCATTGTCTAAACAAATTGGTTGCACTACCCAAAGTCCGACAGACCCTATTGTCATTTAAACGTGTATATATGTATATATATGATATATATATATACGTTGCGTATATATATATTTGGGTAAAAAAAAAATAGCTTCGGAGATTTCGATCTTTTTCCGCTTCAAGCAATGAGTCAGGAACCTGAAAATACTTCTGATTATAATTCTAATCAAGTTAATGATGCTGATTCTTACAGAGACTACCAGCCTAGTTTACCTCACACAGACTCTCAAATATCCCAAGCATCGACCATTACCGGTATGGATCAGTATAGTGGGATTGAAGACGATGATGAGAGTCATAAGGACATTAATAGTGACATTGATAATAAGTTAGATGAGTTAATTGGCCTTCGAGTTAGTGGCTCTTCATATGACCCTCTCAGGTCATCTGATAACGAAGAAAATCACAAAGAGGAAAGTAGCAAAAGAAGAGACGAAAAAGAAGAAGAAGAAGAAGAGGAGGAGGAGGAGGAAGAAGATAGTGATGACAACATCAAAGATTATAGTGAAAGAGAAAGCGACAGAGGGTATTATGACGAACATCATAAGTCATTCATTAATGGAAGTCAGCCGTTTTACAGTAGCAATGGAATATTTAATCATGATAACCATGAATCTGCGGAGGATATTGAAATGATGAATAATGGTTCATCACGATATGAATCTGATAGTGAAAGTGGTCCACAATCAAGTAAGCGAATTAAAAGAAAAAAGCTGGACGAAATCTTAAGGCGTGAAGACGGAGAGACCGATATGGATGATGAAACAATGACAGATGCTGATCAAGAACTAGAACAAGAGACTGTCTTTCCTCCAATACAAGAGGGTTTGTGTGTTGAATGCCGAGATCAGGTAAACACACGCCATTATCTACGCGTCTATGGACTTTATCATTCCAATTTCTGTGTTCTCTTATTAACATTTGTATATATATTCTTAGGAAGCTTCATTCTTCTGTGAACAGTGTAATGAAGACTTTTGTGAAGTATGTTTTGCCATGATTCATCGCACAGGAAGTCGGCGGAATCATACCAAAAAAAATCTGAAAAATGAACAAAGCAGTGATACACTAGGAAATAGCTCACAAGGTGTTGAACCTATTTCGAAGCAAACTTCAAACGGTTATACGAGCTTTGAAGTAAATACACTACATTCTGTTTAAACCGCATATTTATTTTCAGTGCTTAAATTCTCACCCAATATATTATCTTGATAGGAAACGTCTTTTGACGATCCGGATGTCGAATCCAAAATGACTTCGTTTGGCTCATCAAGAGACGATATGGCATCCGGAAAACGTTTAGTGGAACGTTCTAAATATATTCCTCTTCGACTGAATATGGAAGAACGAAAGCTTCTTAGATTGTATTTATCTTATTTATATTTTATATTAATTTGTTAAATCAATTTTGTTAAATCTTGTTTGAGAAAAATTATACTTATCATATTTACTAATTTTTAGATTGGAAGCTGCCCTTAATGTTTCCGGTAAAATTTTTTGCTTTATTTTGTTTATAAACTTGTATCCATGATTAGTATTTTTAACTCGATTTCAATTAGAATATACGGACAAAATTGATATCCTATCACCTTATAACAAAAAAAACCGTATCATTCAACAGATCAAAGAACTATGTAGTATTTTATCTGGCTTAGTCGTAAGTATTTAATTTAATTCTCACGAATTGGTGATATTTCACTGTATATATAATATATTAAATAAATATATCGTTTCAAATTATGATTGTTTCAGGTTGCAAGGTAAATATAAATTTTCGGTATAATGTGTGCATATATGCATTCGTTTATTACGAGTTTAACTAGTTGTTAATTTAGCGACTATAAAAAAGGTCAAGAAATGTTTGCGAATAAGTCATATGAAGAAAACGAAGAATTCTATCAAAATATTTTTGAGATAGGGCGACGGCACAAAATAAGTTACCCAGGCAATTGATTTACATCAGCCAAAGTCTTCCTATGGATATTGGTCTACATACTGCATAAATTG